GTGTCTGCCAAAGACCTTGTGGGATGGGTCTCGCTGTAAGCCAATATCCGTATCCTATAAGCAATGGGGACCCCTCACGGTTCCCCAGGTATTTCTTGTCATTGCCCCCCTGCAATAGTGCACCCTGGGGTGAATCAGATGTGGTGGCTCACATGAGCGTCCTATCTCCCTGTGACCCTCATGAACCACTGTCACTCATGGCGTGGGTGACCAGGGACATTTCCATGGGCGAAACCCAGCTAGGGAGCCACCAAGCTGTGACGTGTGAGTCTGCTGCCTCTCAGTTCTGAGAGGCCACGCCCGTCACGGCCACGCCCATTGCCACACCCATCGCCACACCCACAACCGACTGCGCTATCCCAGGAGTGAGACAGACTTGCTGGTTTCCGAGCCAAAGACCGAAGCGGGAGACTCCAGAAATATCCATAGGCCAGGCAGGGTAGCCACCCAGGCCCCCTGTTCCTGCGGGAGGTCTTGTGGGAAGGGTCTACCCTGATCCTATAGTGCTGTCCTGGAATTGGACTCCCCGCAATGCCCAGGCATAGGGCACACCTGTAGGCAAATGCACCTCTACGTACACACGCTGGCCCGGTATGGGGATCCCAGAGCTCCGTGCGGGAAGTCGCCCAGGCTGTAGGCACACCGACCCCGTCGATGCCCACCCTTACTGATTCCTCAGACCTGGGTGGCTGCCGTGCTCACGTTAGTGCCAGAACTCAGGCGACAGAGAGACTCTCAGCCCCAGAACTGAGAGGCAGCAGCAAGCACAGGTCTTTAGCATCTCAATCTACAGAATTAGCATCTCAAACCTGAGTTGAATGGAATGTTAATGCCTGGCTGCTTAGGTTGAAGCTCTAAGAGTTCACCTGAGAGGCAGGTGTCAGTAGAATAAAAGGCCCAGAATTTAGGGGCCGTCCTTGGTGGAGTCATCGCTCTGGTTTTAGGGGCACATCACGCCTGGTAGGTGGGGCTGGAGTTCCATACCATGACACTGAAGCCTCACAGGGGGACCCGTGGCCACGGGGCTGTGGATATGGCCCAAACTGAAGGCCTGGAGTGGTTCACACGAGCATCCTATCCCCAAATGACCCTCGTGATCCTCTGCGGCGCGTGGCCAGGGTGATCCGGGACGTTGCCATGGGCAAACCCCAGCGTGGGCCGCCTCCGAGCCGTGATGTGTGAGTCTGTGCTGCCGCCTCGCGGCCACTTCCTTCTGCACACCCACAACCGACTCCGCGCCATCCCGGCGGTCGGACAGACTTGCTGGTTCAGAGCTCGAGATTGAAGGGGAAGACTCCAGAAATACACAGGTGCGAGACAATGGAGCACCCAGGCTCCTGTGCCTGCCGAAGACTGTTGGGATGGGTCTGCCTCTGAGCCGATATCCGTATGCTCCAACGAATGGGGACCCCACATTGTTCCCCAAGTGTTTCCTCTCCTTGCTCCCCTTCAACAGTGCACCCTTGAGTGAATCACATGGGGTGGCTCACATGAGTGTCCTATTCCTCGGTGACCCTCGTGGACCACTGCGACACGTGGCCTGGGTGACCCGGGACAGTGCCACGGGCGAACCCCAGCTTTGCCCGCTTCTGAGCTGTGGCATGTGTGTCTACACTGCCGCCTCGTGGCCACTTCCATCTCCGCACCCACACCCAATTCTGCAGCATCCTGGGAGTGAGATGGACTCACTGAGGTTGGCACCCAAGATTGAAGGAGAAGATTCCAGAAATACTTGACCACTTGGCATGGTAAGCTCCTGGGATTCTTGTTCCTCCCGGAGGCCATATGGGAAAGGTCTCTGTCTAGAGCATGGGCTCAAATTCTTTGGAGGGCCAGCCTTGACTGCCCCAGGTATCAGAGATCCGTCTTTGCTTCCAAGTATCCACTTTACCTTTTCCTTGTCCTAGGTGACAGGGGACATGTTGTCCGAGGTGCTACTTCTGGGATTGGGCCCCCAACAGTGCTTGGGCTCCTGGCAGACCCAGCGCTCTCCTGTTGGAGCTGCTGCCACACCGCAAGTTAACCCCAGTGCTGGGATGCTTGTTCCCTCTCCTGGGGTTTGGTGGTCATCTCTTCT